CCATAAAAATTGTTGACCTTTAAGCATAATCGAACGTTACGTGACCAACGTGAGCAACGAATTTACATGAGAACACGTGTGTATTATCGGTGGTGAATTTTTCATCGAGTCACAGGGAGGCGTTAAGATCGATTATAAATCCCCGGAATTCTGGCCCAGTTCAATGGAAGCCGAGATCGCGAACCGACCAGCGAAAAGTGATGGTAACGTTGACGGGAGCCGAGCTGTTTCTGTGGTAGTGAAATGACGTAGCGGGAAATGAGTCTCGTAAAACAATCCTAGACACGCGAACGCCTCGAGAAAGTGGCTCGATCGTGGACTCGCTTCTTGAAACGTACGTTCATATCATCTTTGTCCAGTGTCCTCGACGTTAATTAATGTACCGTCGATTTATCTTTGTGATTCTCGCGTTGCATGTCCCTGCCGTCCTGCATAAATTTCAGATTATGAAACTCACAGGAACTGAAGCTTTTTTTCGCGAGCTAAATGTTTACGCGAATCCACGAAAGAAGAAGAAGAAGTTTGAAAGAGCAAAGATGGTTCTTAATGTACGAAAGTCCATGCGTGGACACGCATGCTCATCCGTTACGGTATTTCATCGCTACAACGCGCGTTTCTTCTCGGTCCAAGTACCAAGAACCGACGAAATAAAGATGAATTTTTAAACGGTCAATTTGTACATCATTTTTCAGAAGAATGGCCATCCTAATAGCCGAGGGTAGACGCGAACGGACAATGTTCATCCTTGATTTACAACTTGGAAGGGAACCTTCCAAGAAAACTTTACTCGTTAACCCTTTCTTTTGACAAAATACGCGTCGCTGATAACTCGTGAATCGAAAGGAAACCTGATTCAAAAAATCTGACAGGTTCCGATAGAAATTCCTGATAGAAGCGAGACCAGTGTATTCGACAAGGTTCCTTTTCAGACAGGCTCGAAATATCGAGACGAATAAACGTAGACTGTAAGATGGAGGCAATCGTATAGCTCGGTAGCGCGACGTGTCAGCCGTATTCAGGCGCGGCACGAGTAGCTATCCGCTTCGCGATTCGATGCAGGAGGCCAGCAGTCGATTTGCGATCACGAGCTCTTCGTGATTTCACTGCTCGTTGGATGTCGACCAATCGAGAGCGAGGTAACGCGTCGAACGATCGCGAATCGACGGAAAAGTTGGAACGGATATTTATCAAGGGAACAATCGCTTCGATGCGATGGAAAGGAATCGTGATAGCGGCCCGGCACGATGAATGCCTAATTAGATGATTAATCGTTCAATAGCCAGCTACAGCCCGCTTATCGCTCGAGCGTGCTTTTCGACGGCAACAGACGACCGCACGAAGCCTAAATCACATTCACCTTAGGATCATTTTTTTTCTCGCTTTAAACGGCCATGAACGCGATCAAACTCGAGGGAAGGTTTATTGAAACTGTACCTCGTCGATCTCTTATTATATAGCCAAAAATTATGACTTATCGGGGTTTCCACCGCGTTAGCGTTTCGATTGTTTTGCCAACATTTCGCAAACATTACAGTTTACTTTCTGCAGGACAATCGAAACACACCTAAAGTATAATACTACGGTTTCGTCAACCAAGATGCAGCTTAAGCTGTTTGTTCGAAGAAAAGAGAGCGAAGGATAAAATTCGTGGAGGAACAATAAGCGAACGATAAATTATCGGAATTATCGCGAGTGGTTCGATATAGAGGAATCTAGTTGTTCTCTCGATGCGTTTGTCCGTCGCGGCTGATTGGCCGCGTTTGTTTCAGCCCGGCCTGATTGCATTCCGCCGGAAACGGCAAACAAATGACAAACAGGGCTACCTTATCGTTAATTGGCGGAGGCGAGAGGAGGCGAGAGCAGGCAAGAAAAGAGTCAAGGAAGACTTGCGGAATTATTATGGCGCTGGTCGAGCTCGGGGTAGAGGGAAACAGGAGGCTGGAAGAAAAGGGCGAAGAGGAAAACCGAAGAAGGAGCGGAGACGATTGTTCGTACTTTCTGTTATCGGATTTGCATGGCCGCGTGCAGCTATTCGAGAGGGTATTGTTGGCATTTTAATTCATACAGCACAGAGAATCGATCACGTCCAGTCGTCCAATAACCGAACTGCGGGATATTTACCGTCCTATGACGTCACGATAAACACTCGATGATTTTCTCTATCGTTTCTTTAAATCATCCATCAAGCACGTTTCCATCCCTTACGGAGTACCGCGATATCGTGACTAATTAACTCGCAACGCTCGGTCAATACCACCGTCGCACCAAGTGATCGTTTCATTACTCGACAAGCGTCGGCTTCGTTAGGAAAAATTCAAAGCGCCTCGAAACTGTTCGCGTGACTTCCAAACATACTACGGCACATGTCATGTTCCTATGCAAAACGTGGCTACGCCACTGAAAATTATTGAAATACTGTGTCACTCGAGAAATCCGATGCTTAAACGTTCTTAAATTCATCCCCCAAGTGGTTCGACGACAGACCGGAAATTTTCAAAGATTCCATAGTAAGGTAAAGGAGGGAATTTTATTATTCCCGAGAGGGAAGATGCTTTTAATTGAGACTGTCCGGGGGTGGAAGCACCGTAAAAGGTAAAAGAAGGAGAAGAAGAAGAAGAAGAGGAGGTGGGATCGGAGGTAGCAGGAGTCTCCCGCAAAACGAGAATGGACTGACCTACCTTAGGATCATCCGATCTATTCATACTCCTTATTCAATCGTGTTCTCTCAGGATGCGAGACAAAAGCAGCGATGAAACAGAACCTCTCTGTCTCCCTTGGCCCTTCATCCCCCGCACGCCACTCTGCTCGTATGTTTCTTTGGCTTTGTCTCCTCTCGGATACGACTTCCGGTGCCGCGGCTAGACGCAACCCCTCAATGGGATGATGCGTCTTTGAAACGCGTGGTAGCTGGATTCCGCGATTATTCCTGTGGTTTCCCCGTGATCGACCCCTCTTCTCTCTTTCTATTTCCTATCAGTTTCAAAAATTTCCTGTCTCTTTACTAGCACAATGCTTTCGAGAACTTGAGGCTGATTCGATTCAACTACGCCTGACGGATCGTAGAAACTGATATAATACTAGACCCTAGATTTCACATTGAATGGGTAACGGTAAAACAGATCCTCCTTTTACATTTTTCAGTTTAAACTTTAATACCGCAATTGAAAAAATAACGTATATAGTCCTGGCACGTCCCTCCTTCCTTTTTCACCTCTTTCCCTCCGTGTCTCGTCACAGAGTCCCTTCAGAACGAAACAGGAGGGTAAGTTGGTGGATGGATGGTCTATTGTTTTCGCCGACTCCGTGAGTCAAGCGTTAACGGATTTTGTCTTACAGATTACTGAATCCCTTGAAAGTGGCTGCTGTCGTCGGTGCGTGGCAGACCGTGGGAAGCGAGCTTTATTATAAATCGCGAACACGATATAAATCATCCCCCGTGTAACTCGCCCCCTGACAAATACCTTCTACATTGTACGATCGAAATTATCTGAAAGCATTTCCCCGTTACAAAACGTCGATTGTTTATGAAACTTTTTCATCAAATTGGTATTCATGAAATCGTGAAGAGGGGTTTCGAAAATGTAGGCCAACTATCGAAACGGGAATGCCTGCACCCTTTGTCCCCGAGGCTGAAGTGAGCCATCGATGTCAAAGTATTGTGACTCGAGGGAGACATCGGGCCGATCGTGCGCAGCCGTCCTTCATCGGTTCGGCTGGTCGAAAGTCGTCGTCGGTAAAAAAGTTAACCGCGCACCGCCATTCAGAATATAACAATAAATTAACGTTGGCTCGCTGTACGGGCCAATCTTTTGTCTACCGAGCGATGCCTCATTGTTAACCGGCAAACAAAGGGAGATCGATCCACGTTCTTGTCGGGCAAATGGTTCTTTGACCGTCCGAGAACTATTGAAAACGTAGACGAGTTGACGATTAAAAAATTTCTGCGAACGCACTTTACAACTCTGAGAAAGCTGTCTGCGAGGAACCAAGGTACGAGAAACATGGTGACACCGGCGAATGGGCGGGACTTTTGAAAACAGATAACCGAGAAGGTGGAGGCGGAGGACGAGCAGAGTGACTAGACAATACGGAAAAAGAAGAAATGATATCGACGTTGCGAGTGCGCCAGCGCGAGAACCGCCTACTAGTGTTCACCGGTGTCGTTCGGACGACAGAAACGATATCAGAAACGATGACACGTTCAGGGTACATACGTAACAATGTTATCAGAAGCATACCGCAATGATTATGCGGCTGTGTCCAATTGAATTTTTACAAGCGATAACGAGCAACGTCGTTAAATTTCCTTCGATGCTTCATTCCGAAACGTCTCAAGCAGACTCGCTTCAACTTGGTTAAATATACGATTTCAGCCATGTCGAATAAGATAATTATTTTGAAAAAAAAACTCCAATTTATAGGTTTCTTTTTTTTTTACCTGCTGAAACCTAGCAATAGCGAATGGAAATTGAACGAGCTGGTCACGCAATCAGTTTGGTAAAAATAAAGCTTGTCGAATTACTGACGGCAGGTATCACGGGATCGCGAATAGGAAAGACAAAAGCTCGTTTCGAAACGGCAATCTTGAAAATTAGTTTTATATAGTCTCATGCCGCGGTATGCTTTTATAGCCTCGTCGAGTAAGTTCCGCGGAAAAGCTCGTAATGTCTTGCGTTTTAATACGGCCGTTTCTAGAGTGCGACGAAATAGCCTCCCTTTTCGAAGTGTTTTTACCATTTATGCTAAATCGTATCCATTTGTTCGGCGAAATATCATTCGTTTCGTCGTTAGAATTTTCTACTATTATAATACTTCAAGTATTTACATTGTTGAAAATATTGAATCATAGGCACGCGAGTAATTCTTCGAATTATATAAAATTTAATGAAGAAATTAGCAATCACAGATCGTGTCAGTAGTGGTCCCCATACGAAAAGACATAGATCCAACCCCGAAATTATTTACAATCGTACACTCTCCACAAGGGATAGCTTACTCACCCTGTGCCAATCTTCTAGCCACCGGCTTGGATCTCATCGCTGCACGGCGGGTGGCAGATTCGTAAACAAAACACTAATTGTAAGAACCCTGACAGTCCTCCGAGCCATGCGAGTTTATGCACGATCGCAGATTATCCTGTCGATTATTTCAGTCTATCCCACTCCGTAGCCCCTTTCGATAAAGAACAGTTCGATAAAGCACAATTCTCCTCCTTTTCTGGCTGGGTCCTCTTTGATCCCTCTTCGATCAGACGGAGGATGGTCCGAAACGGACGGGTGACGATGTTGCCTCGAGCCGGACACTGTGGAGGGTGCACAAAGAGTCCATTCCGGCGCGCGGTTTCCGGTACACCGGATATCCTCAGTGATCCGACGGCAGTCCGTTCGACTGGGATCCTGACGTGCGTTGGGATCTGTCCTCCGACAGTGGAGGCTTCTCCTGTCCTCCGCTTCTCCTGTCTCCTCCTCCTCCACCACCTCTCCTCCTCTTCCACTCCCTCCAATCTCTTTTTCTCTCTTCCTTCACCCTCCTTTCTCACCCTTCTCGCTTCTTCCTCTTTCCCTGTCACGCTCTTTGCTCCACTGCTAACTCTGCCGCCGCGCCGTTACACCACCGCTTCTTCCACCCCCTTCTTTCTGCCTCTTTCTCCTCTTCGTGTTACTACTACTACGAACACTACCACCACGTCTACTTCGCCTCCACCTCCGCCTTCTGCCTCCTGGCCTGGCCTTCCCCACCTGCCGAGTCGACCTGCTCGGTTCCCCACCACCAAGCCTCTGCTGTCCACCAATGATCAGCCGCTGTCTCTCCAACGCGTTCCTCTTTTCCTACGAGAGCGCAACCTCTCGTTTTCTTCCTTCCCGGGTTTCTCTCCTATCGGAAACTCCGTCTCGCTGAGGGTTACGCCAACTCCAATTATCAATCACCTTCGGATAAGATGACACTTGATTTTCGATGATCTTTCAGCTTCAGATAGAGAGAAACTTTGTAGAGATTCGTTGACAGACCGTTGGAGATCGAGGGACCAACGAGGCTGGACCTCCCAAGCTGACTTTTGGACACGTAGCATATGTTGATGTAGTTTGTATACGGTTCGGTTTATCAGTGTTTATGGACGATTCGAAGAATTCGTGCCCGACGGTGCTACTTTTTCGATAACTCTTGTAATGTGTCCTTTGTAAGGTTTTAAGCATCTTGGAGGCTCGCGTTCCCCGCTCCTCGGACGAGTTATCGGATGCTGCGTTTAGGGTTGCGTTCGCCTGGAAACTTGAACTTTGACGCCTGTTACTATAAAGTTCCAAGATCTCTCTTAAAGGATGCTGTGTCTGTCCACGTTGTGTGGGTCGTTCTTGACGATGTCTTGGTAAGGAAACAGGTGTTCAACGGGTTCGATCCCTTTCGCTGACGTTGCTGATCACTAATTCACCACTCTGTCCCTATGTGCCGAGTCGTTATCGCTGCATGTTGCTGACGTGTAGTCTGTACCGGCTCGATACGAAGTATCCAACGTGTGCACTGATTATAAACATTCTTGTCTGATAATTTGGTTATGTCTCGCCCATTGCTCAAGTTCAACTTTCAAGCCGCGATACTCTCGGTCTTGACATCCCCGAAACTGATCGGAACTGTGGAAGGGTTTACGAACCACGTTGCCGGAAACACGTGGCGACGAGTGGCGCCGAATCGACGCGACGCGACGCGACGCGACGGAAGTTACACTTTCAGCGACGCGAACACTGTTGCGCGAAGATCGATCGATCCACCATTTGTACGATCGATTACGCGGGACGATGAGTCCCGTTTGATGCCGTGGATCGTGTGACGGATCAGCTCGCGACACGTTTTGCGGAAAGATTTAAATCGGGCGGAGGGAATGCCAGCGGAGACGAGGCGCGTCGACTTCGAGGCTTGGCTGGCAACTCGCTTCGCACCGACACTTCGACTTTGCATTTCTGGCTGCGTTCTCGCTCGACTAGGCGCCCCTCTTCTCCATCTTCGTCGCACCTGAACGCGACCTCCGACCCCACGGACGGTGGTTCGTCGTGAAACGCGCCCGCGCACCCTTCCGAGCGCAGCTCCGCCCTGCTTCTTCTTTGCCCTTTCGAAGCCGGCATCGCCGGCACCTCTTCGCTCTTTTTCACGCGTGTTTCCATCGGTACGCGCGCTACCTACGTGAAAACGTGGCACGCGCGATGAAAGAAAAAGCAGTTCACTGAAAGCGCGACTCAAGAATTTTCTCTTTTTTTTTTTTTAATTTTATTCTCATCGTCCCCCGTACTTCTCCCTCGTAACGCCTCGTTTACCAAAGGGGTGACACTTTTTTCCCTCGCGACGCTTTTTCTTTTTCCAAGATTTATCGAGAAATTCGTAAAGTATCGGAATTATATCACTATTTTCGATTTTTTCAAAGTTTCGTTAGAAATGCCTATGAGGTGGACAGATTGCAGGTAGCCATTATTTTAATGAGAACTACGTGCGTCTCGCGTGATTCGCTTATTAGCGACGGTTCGACCAGAGGATCTTGGGTTTCGAATCGCTCGTAATGCACGACGCGTGAGTGCAGAAATATCACTAGCCGCAGCTCGACAATACGGGCCAACGTTTATTTTCATCCCCGAGAATCGTAAAACATCGTGGAGTAATCGTTTTTGTTAAAAACTGATTTCAGTTCGATACTCTGCGAGAAAAGCGTTAACAAACACGTAGAAATTCTTTTTCTTCAGTTCCTTATTCCAACTTTCAGTTCTCGTTTCTCGCACAACCAGCGAGAACTGTTTCGCATAGTTTCATCCGACCCCAGGCTCCTTTTCCTCGCTTCGTTCTCCGCTTCGAATCGCCATCCTGCAACCTTTCTCTCCGACTTTTGCCTCATCTCTCGCTTTCCTCCTCCAATAACCGCCACCTTCATCCGCGAGACTTTCTTTGTTTCTTACTGCACGTGCTCCACCCGCGTCTGCAGCCGCATAAAAGCGCGAACCGAGAGGCGAGAGCAGCGGGTAGGTTATACACGACTTCGTAAGACGTTGTTCATGTTTAAACGGATATAGTATTTCGTGCGCGGATTCAGGCGCGTGTGCGAGCCGTTTCGCGTTGCGTTACGCTCGCTAACACGGGCCAGGTGTTGGCGACGGTCAAACGGAGAGGGTGAAAAGGTAGGTAAAGTACATGTATGCGTACGTATCCAGCTTCTCTGCGAAAATTGAATACGTGCCTGTCAAGAGTGTCGTGCAAACAGAGGCGAACTTTTTGCACGGACATATTTGAACCGGAGCGCAACAGTTGCTTTGAGCAATCTCGTTCCCTAAACATGTCGCGCGTAATTATCGCGACAATGATATTTCCAAGCGAATTTTGATCGAACCTTTTCGTAAACTAGTTATACCGACCTCCCTGCTGCTCCGTCTATTCAAATTAATCTCCAATTAATCTCACTCTCGACAAGCTTAACCTCTGTTTATTCCACCCTACGTACGTAAACAGACGAATTTACCCGAAGCATACTTATTTATCGCCTGACCGGTAGGAATTTCCGATCGAAAACTGAATCGTTTCGGTGTTATTGGACGTAAACGGATAGAAATATGTGTCAGTTAACGCATGATGCTAGGGAAAGGTAAAGCGAAGGGCTCGAAGACCAATCTCTAGGGTAGTTGTACAAGGCTACTTGAGATCTCGAAATCTATAACGAGAAGGAGGAAGTAGATTTGGCCACTTCTGAACGAAAGGAGAGATCGCTTACGGGGGGTAGAGAGGTATAGGAAAGTGCCGCTAACGGATGACGTATATTAGGGATACTCTGGTCGAGTAAGGCAGCCGAGGATACCCAGGACCCTCCCTGTCCTTTTGCTAGCTATAAAAACCACTCGCCTTCCTTCTCGACCCTTAGCTAAAAGGCCAATCCGCCCTACCACCCTTATCGATCCACAAGGAACGGGCGTTCGGTTACTCTTCGGCTTGTGGACTCGACTTCTTGTACGCGACCACCCCCACACCCTCTTTACCACTGTAATTAACGATCTTCCAGTTTTTTCCATCGTTATGACGCGTTAAAACGCTTCTTCCTAAATCGTTCTATAAATTCTCCTTTCGTGCCACCGCCAATTAAAATTTAAATTACTCTCTTCAACTCGTGATCCTGTCCGACTGAAATGATTATGAAACTAGAGACGAAGTTGACTAATAAGCGGAGCGACATGAATTTGTATTTCGACTATGGGTCGACTACAAGGAAATTACGGACCAAGATGTTTGTACAGCTCTCGGTAGATCGAAAGAACGATTAAAAGTTACGAAACTTGGAAATTGCCGGGCGTGAAAAGTTTCAACTCGAAGAGAAAATACTACAGAGCTTTTTTCAACGAATCGTCTTTTTCTTTCGTCGCTAATCGATATCGCTTGAGACATTACCTGACGAAGATTGTAGAGAAGGAGGTTTACAGGGGCTCTTACATCCGCCCCTTTTACCGCCCCCGTACGACTTCGCGGAAGCATGAAACTCCCAAATGCTTGTCCATCGGTCTTGTGCTTAAAAGTTTTATCGCCCGCCTCTCCATATTCATCGCGCGAATTTCTATTCTCTCTCTCTCTCTCTCTCTCTTTCTCTTTGCTCTCCAACTATCATGCCAAGCGACGTGTTTTTCAATTACGCGAACGTTTTAAACCGCGAGATCTCTGGCATCGATTCGAGACTTGTAATTTCGCGATGCATTATTAGTTGACCGAGGGCATTGCAGCGGCGGTAGATTATGAAATAATGCTCCTCATGCGTGTATGCGCGATTATCTAAAAAGTATCTTTGAATAAGAAGAATGAGCTTTTACTCTTAACATCCATTAACATAGAAGTCCAAGTACCGCGGGCTATGTAACTTCTTTCTCATTTTCTTTTTTCTCTCTATTCGAGTGCGTGACGCATAGCTGTGCAGATCGTAAGAGGGATAGCATACCGAGCAAGACGAATTGAACCGCGTTTACCCGCGTCAAAGCGGCTTGCAATTATTGCTGAGAAAGCAAGGTAACCACGATGCAATTTTTATTCCCGAAGATACGAACAAGACCGTCGCTATGTTCGAATAACGTGCTCGTTGGAATTCAAACGCCGCGAACGTAGTAGTGAAAAATAATATTAACGATATTAATTGATGCATCGCGAGATTTAAGCATCGTTCGAGTCGAGGGTTTTCCATAGCCGATGGCGGGCATCACGAGAGGGTGAGAAAGAAAGGGGAAGGGTTGCGAATAAAGTGGGAGAAAATTGTGATGGAGGTAGAAAGAGAAGGAGGCATGTCGTGCAGCCTATATCTAAGACGGTCGCATGTCATATCAGCAGTCATCGGACTGGGATATAGGTATGTCTGTATAATGCCGCGATAGTACCTCGACGGTGCCCCTGTGTGTATATTACGGGGATTTAGCTCGAGGGCCCTCGCATGCTCGGAGACTGATGTGACCACGGAGACCGCCTCGTCGAGACATGCGAACTGACCTGTACGACAGACCCTCTATCGCTTTCTCAGACCGCAAGAAAAAGAAAAAATATATATATCATAAATGTTTTCGATCGCCTTGCATACTTTCCTCGAGTTTACAAAATTTCTTTATGAAACGCGTGTCCATCCTAAAAATGTCCCCCCTCTTCGCTACTAGGCTTGCAATTATTATAGATTTTTATTAAAATTCTTAGATCAATTAAAACCTCGTTTATCGAAGTAACCATGAATTCACCTATTTTTTACCAT